GACAGACGTGACAGAGTCTGGAGACGCCGTGGAGAACGTTCTGCTGCCTGCAACATCCTCCAGCATGACCGGTTTGGCGGTGGGTCAGTCATGGTGTGGGGTTGCATTTCTTTGGGGGGCTGCACAGCCCCCCATGTGCTCGCCAGAGGTAGCCTGACTGCCATTAGGTACCGAGATGAGATCCTCAGACCCCTTGTGAGACCATGTGCTGGTGCGGTTGGCCCTGGGTTCCTCCTAATGCAAGAGAATGCTAGACCTCATGTGGCTGGAGTGTGTCAGCAGTTCCTGCAAGAGGAAGGCATTGATGCTATGGACTGGCCCGCCCGTTCCCCAGACCTGAATCCAATTGAGCACATCTGGGACATCATGTCTCGCTCCATCCACCAACGCCACGTTTCACCACAGACTGTCCAGGAGTTGGCGGACGCTTTAGTCCAGGTCTGGGAGGAGATCCCTCAGGAGACCATCCGCCACCTCATCAGGAGCATGCCCAGACGTTGTAGGGAGGTCATACAGGCACGTGGAGGCCACATACACTACTGAGCCTCATTTTGCCTTGTTTTAAGGACAATGCATCAAAGTTGGATCAGCCTGTAGTGTGGTTTTCCACTTTAATTTTGAGGGTGACTCCAAATCCAGACCTCCATGGGTTGATAAATTTGATTTCCGTTGATAATTTTTGTGTGATTTTGTTGTCAGCACATTCAACTATGTAAAGACAAAAGTATTTAATAAGATTATTTCATTCATTCAGATCTATGATGTGTAATTTTAGTGTTCCATTTACATTACATTTTACATTTTAGTCATTTAGCAGACGCTCTTATCCAGAGCGACTTACAGGAGCAATTAGGGTTAAGTGCCTTGCTTAAGGGCACATCGACAGATTTTTCACCTAGTCGGCTCGGGGATTAGAACCAGCGACCTTTCGGTTACTGGCACAACGCTCTTACCCACTAAGCTACCTGCCGCCCCAGTTCCCTTTCTTTTTTTGAGCAGTGTATATTTATATATATGTATATGTATGTATGTATGTATAAATATATATATATATATATATATACACAGTGGGGAGAACAAGTATTTGATACACTGCCGATTTTGCAGGTTTTCCTACTTACAAAGCATGTAGAGGTCTGTAATTTTTATCATAGGTACACTTCAACTGTGAGAGACGGAATCTAAAACAAAAATCCAGAAAATCACATTGTTTGATTTTTAAGTAATTAATTTGCATTTTATTGCATGACATAAGTATTTGATCACCTACCAACCAGTAAGAATTCCGGCTCTCACAGACCTGTTAGTTTTTCTTTAAGAAGCCCTCCTGTTCTCCACTCATTACCTGTATTAACTGCACCTGTTTGAACTCGTGCAATTGGATGTGATGCAGACAACGACATTGATGGAAGTTACAATCTATCTGCAATATTAAGCTGATCTACCCCCCCAAAATGTAATAATAATAAATAAAAAAATAAGAATATAGATGAAAACTATCTTGGTAGATAGAGTATCTCATGCTGTAAACCACACTATCTCAGGCGAGCAAAACCTTAAGACTTCCTTAGATATCATGCACCAGCTTTTGTTTACAGCTTTTCTTGTTGAAATCATTTTACACAGTTGTTGAAACTGAACAGACAAAGTATAATGGGTTAATCATAAAGTTTGTTTTATTATAAAGCTTCATTTAGACCATGCAGCTTGGTTAAAAACATTGTAATCAGTGTTTGGTTATCAAAAACAGTAAGATCTCGCTTACTTTTACAACAGTAAGATTCTGTTTTTTATAAAAAGTACCTGTATAACACACCATTCCTTTTATAGCAAAGGGACATTGATTATCATCAAGTGGATTGTACTTGTGTGGGATCAATCTGACCCAAAAGAGTACAGACGCATTCTGCCCTACAAACGCAAAATGCAGTAACCATGGCAACAGTGAAACTGAGAAAAATGGCTTTAAAGTTTTTTTTTGCTAGCCAGCCAAATATGTTGTAGGTAGATAAGTGATAATGCACTGATGTATCATCTTATTATGAAGACATTTCTATGCATATCAACCATGACCATGGATTTTACCTATGCAGATACTGCACTCTGCCTTTGTATGACCTTAAACAACTATATGGGTAATGCAAAGGCAAAGTGCAGTATCTACAATCTAAATGTGTTTATCCAACTTTCTTGTTTTTCTGTTTGATGGAAACAGTTTGATAGTTCTAACTACATTCCAACTGTATTTAATGGTATTAAGTAGTTATGTTTTCATCTTTTGAATGTTGTATTGTAGTAACCCTCAAGCATTTTTTCACCATAATGTAAGGACTATTTCATCACGCAGAATGTTATACTTAAAATGTTTTGACTTTGTGCAGTATATACAATCGAAATGTGTTTATCCAACTGTCTTGTTGTTTTTCCTGTTTGACGTTGTATGGTAATTTATTTGACTTAAGGTTCATAGGTTAAATCAGTGGTCATGGTTGATATGTGTAAAAAATTACTCACTTACAGTTGAAGTCGGAAGTTTACATACACTTTGGTTGGAGTCATTAAAACTCGTTTTTCAACCACTCCACAAATTTCTTGTTAACAAACTATAGTTTTGGCAAGTTGGTTAGGACATCTACTTTGTGCATGACACAAGTACTTTTTCCAACAATTGTTTACAGACAGATTATTTCACTTATAATTCACTGTATCACAATTCCAGTGGGTCAGAAGTTTACATACACTGAGTTGACTGTGCCTTTAAACAGCTTTGAAAATTCCAGAAAATGATGTCATGGCTTTAGAAGCTTCTGATAGGCTAATTGACATCATTTGAGTCAATTGGAGGTGTACCTGTGGATGTATTTCAAGGCCTACCTTCAAACTCAGTGACTCTTTGCTTGACATCATGGGAAAATCCAAAGAAATCAGCCAAGACCTCTGGTAGACCTCCACAAGTCTGGTTCATCCTTGGGAGCAATTTCCAAACGCCTGAAGGTACAACGTTCATCTGTACAAACAATAGTACACAAGTATGAACACCATGGGACCACGCAGCCATCATACTGCTCAGGAAGGAGCTTGGTCGCCAATGGGTCTTCCAAATGGACACTGACCCCAAGCATACTTCCAGAGTTGTGGCAAAATGGCTTAAGGACAACAAAGTCAAGGTATTGGAGTGGCCATCACAAAGCCCTGACCTCAACCCTATAGAAAATATGTGGGCAGAACTGAAAAAGCGTGTGAGAGCAAGGAGGCCTACAAACCTGACTCAGTTACACCAGCTCTTTCAGGAGGAATGGGCCAAAATTCACCCAACCTATTGTGGGAAGCTTGTGGAAGGCTACCCGAAACATTTGACCCAAGTTAAAGAATTTAAAGGCAATGCTACGAAATACTAATTGAGTGTATGTACATTTCTGACCCACTGGGAATGTGATGAAAGAAATAAAAGCTGAAATAAATCATTCTCTCTACTATTATTCTGACATTTCACATTCTTAAAATAAAGTGGTTATCCTAACTGACCTAAAACAGGGAATTTTTACTGGGATTAAATGTCAGGAATTGTGAAAAACTGTGTTTAAATGTATTTGGCTAAGGTGTATGTAAACTTCCAACTTCAACTGTATCTACCCACAACATATTTGACTGGAAAGCAAATAAACTTTAAAGCCATTTTTCTCAGTTTCACTGTTTGCGTAGTTACTGCTCTTTGCCTTTGTATGGCAGAGCAGGTAACTGCAGTCAAAACACGGTGGTACCAGCTCCTTACACTTCTCTCTATTGCCAACGATTTTCCGGAACTCAAATATTATTTTCAGATCATCAGGCTTTCAGTTACTGCTGTTTCCTTTGGTTTTACTTGGATTCTGTAGTTACTGCAAATTTCACACTCCATTTTCTCTGAAACTGAACATAATTGAACAAGGATACTTTGTCACAAGATAAAACAGATACTACAAAGCCTGATTTCAGTCTTAACTCAATTTTGACCAAAAGTGTAGTTACTGCATTTTGCCTTTGTAAGGCAGTATCGGTTTGTATTGTGCAAAGTTTGTGCTGAATAGCAGTCTTTTTATTGAAAAGAAGAGGTAGTCTACAACCTTGGCTCTACCAGAAGCAAACTACTGTACCATCCTTAGCCCAGATCTTTTTGAGCTCTCTAGCCAACTCTATTGCTGTCCTTGTCAAGCCAAACAGACATTGAGTGACAAGGAGTTGGCATGATAGCACAAACAGACTGGCACTCAGGCTATTCTACGTTTGCTAGTTTCTCACTAGTAAGGCTGGAGCTTGCCTTTAAGTTTCCTAACATCAATGTTACACGTACCATTTTCTGCAACTCTTTGCTTGAGGCCTGCAACATAATGCATTCTGTCTTCAAAATTACCTAAATAAATGTTTAGTAATTTTGGCTTATCATGAATATTAAATGTTCATGATTATACAAGTTTATTGCCATTCATTAGTTTGCATAATGTATAACTATTCCACTATTATCCCACTTGTGGGTTGTGTCTGCTCTCCAACCTACAGTAAAAAACATTTAAAACCAATTACCCAGTGGAGAGAAAATACATGGAAATATATCCTTAGCCCTTATAAACACTAGCGCTTATTAAGACATTTGGGCAGTGGAAAACTAACTTAATTGCAGTTTCACACTCAGGAATATCCTAATTATATTATATATCTAACTTTACATGTAGATAGTGTTGACATATACAGTAAATACATGTAAACATACTGTAGTCTACAAATATTGTATAATATTGTAGCACATGATGAGTGCATAAGGTGGTACAGGTGTTGAAGGGGAGGTAGGTGGGCTACTTCCAGGCAGCACTAGAGAATGAGTGATTGTGTGTCCCGTGGTGTGTGTGTGTGTGCACGTGTATGTGAATGTGTGTCTTCAGGTCTTCAGGTATGACAGCCCAGTGTCCAGCAGTACAATGGAATGTTTTGTGTATGTGTGTGTATACACAGTGTGTGTGTGTGTGTGTGTGTGTGTGTGTCAGTATGTTTAAGATTTCTTCTGGCAGTGTTATCCCAGTTTCCAGCAGTAGCAGATGGAATTGAAGAAGCGACAGTGACAGGAGACACAGGGGTCACAGCAGCGGGAGTGGGGCATACAGCTCTCCATCACCTTGGAACAATTAGGGGTAGGGGGGGCAGGCTTCACCTTGGGCTTCTATAGCACACACACACACACACACACACACACACACACAGGAAAAAAATGAAAAAGGTATTAACTGACAATTAAGCACTTACCCTCTGACTGTTTCAAGATTTATGACCTGCTAACCAAGCACTCATGCAATTTTGTTCCAAATGGCACCCTATTCCCTATATAGAAATGAGGTGCCCTGCTCAAAAGTAGTGCACTATATAGGGAATAGGGTGCCATTTGGGATGCAGACATGCAATCACTACGCCAACACACTATGCCAAGACTATCTTGGACTGTCAACCACTCAGAACTAAGTACACTCCATTTCCCGAGCAGCCTCGCCTCCAGCTGTGCAGAAGCCATTTTGTTGATGTTCTGTAAGCTAGTAATCATCATACTGTAGGAGAAAAATGAATAGAATTAGATACGGTTTGAAATTGTTGAGGTCTTACTACCCAATATGGGTTGGCTGACATAAATCAAGCATGAAATGCACATTCATCTTGCATTGATGTCAATGGGAGATTTGTGGTCTAATGTCTAGAAAGATCATAATAATAATAATAATAATAATAATAATAATAAATGCTATTTAGCAGACAAGTACACATCCCATGCCATCTGTTGTGTGGGACAGATAGGCACCGTTTTCTTTCCATTAACATGGGTTTGAGGCACATGGATATACAGAACAGGTTTTGTGGGATGTGGAATCATATCGATATTACACTGAAAGGGTCTGGCAAACGTTGATTTTGGAGTGAAGTACACTATATGACCAAAGGTATGTGGACACCTGCTCGTCAAACATCTCATTCCAAAATCACGGGCATTAATATGGAGTTGGTCCCCCCTTTGCTGCTATAACAGCCTCCACTCTTCTGGGAAGGCTTTCCACTAGATGTTAGAACATTCCTGCAGGGACTTGCTTCCATCAACCACAAGAGCATTAGTGAGATCGGGCACTGATGTTGGGCGATTAGGCCTGGCTCGCAGTCGGCGTTCTAATTCATCCCAAAGGTGTTCGATGGGTTTGTGGTCAGGGCTCTGTGCAGGCCAGTCAAGTTCTTCCACACCGATCTCGACAAACCATTTCTGTATAGACCTCGCTTTGTGCATGGAGGCATTGTCATGCTGAAACAGGAAAGGGCCTTCCCCAAACTGTTGCCACAAAGTTGGAAGCACAGAATCGTCTAGAATTTCAATGTATGCTGTAGCGTTAAGATTTCCCTTCACTGGAACTAAGGGGCCTAGCCCAAACCATGAAAAACAGCCCCAGACCATTATTCCTCCTCCACCAAACTTTACAGTTGGAAATTATCCAAACATAAACCCCAGCAGTTTACCGTCACACGCAACCTCTGCCGTTCCTGGATTCCTCTTCTGGCAAACAACGTTCTGGGTTTCGCCTGGTTCCACAGCTCTGTTGGAAGGAAAGAAGGAAGAATCATAAGAAACCTCCTTAATTCCGATCAGAGATTACAACATTCTGGGGTTGCAGTAAATTGAATAACATGAATTATCGTGCAAAAATCAATTGAAACGCCAAACAGCATAATAGGAAACTGTTGTCATGGATCTGAATATCAGAACTCCATCATGTTCACTTCACTTATTGAAGTTCACGTCAGCCATGGCATCAAGGTTAACTGATGGAAATTGTGTGCTTTTGTAGTGTGTGTGCGTGAGTGTGAGTGTGTATATCACCAATAACTCGCATAACTTTTGTACAGCTTCATCATCCCTGTCACAAATCATGGCCCAGTTAAATGTAGCAGAGTGTAACCAGAGATTTATGTTACATATATTTGAAATACGTATTTCAATTACTTTTGAATGTTGTAATTTGTATTTCACTGGCCTGACCTACAATCCAATGTATTTTGTAACAAGATACTTTTGAGACCTAAGGTAGATAAACAACCACATATGACAGTCATAAACCCCGTTTCCATCCACAGTTTTTATGCAAGTAAAGCCATATCATTTTTAAAAAATCATGACAGCTGTGATGGAAACAGGAAGTTTCGGTGTAATTTCATAAATGCCGACAGATAATTTGTTTGTTCGATATGGTGAGATCTTCTTGTCGGTAGAATGTATTATGCGGGAAATGGTGGTGGAAACGCCGTTATGCGCAAATATTGATATAATAACCATCATATCGAAGTAAATTTGGAGTCACACAATGAAATGGTGTGTGGTCCTCACACTACGACTCGGGAAACCATGCAGTTTATTAGGCTACAGATGAAATAAATTATGAACTTCACAGGGTGTTGAAAGTGCAAGGTGATGAGCTTGATGCTGTTTTCCAATACATATCGAGGGTCTTATTCTGGTGACATGATCATCGATGCTTGGCTGCTGTTTGACAAATAAAAATAATCTTGCTCTTTTGTACATCATAATCTCATCATGTAGGCTATACGTGCACTCTAGCCAAAAGAGCTGTTGGCTAGAGAGCACGTTCCAATACCAGAATGGGCACACTCGCTATATAACGCAACATTCTTTGTGACAAAACCATCAGTAGAGTTGAAAATGCGATGGAAACCCATTTAACTTGTATTTGTTATTCAGTACATGGGAATTTAACCGCAAAATGTATTTTTATGTGACCTACGTGATCACACACAGCCTTTTATCTGCAACAAGTACATTTGATGGAAACACATCTTTGTTTTTATGCAGATTTTAGAATATTCGTATGTAAATCTGTCGCCAATTGGATGGAAACCTAGCTATAGCAAGTCAAAACAAATTGGGTACCGTTACTGAGCATGTTGTTGTAGTGAAAGCGTGTACTTGCAAATGTATTTTGTAAATACAAAATACCTAAAATAACTGTATTTTGATTAAATACAATACTTTGCAAAATAATTTGGTATTTATTTTAATACATTGGACTTTAGAGTATTTTGTAATAGTAACAAGATAGTATATTTGCTCATCTCTGAATGTTACAGGGGGTGAGTGAGCAGCAGCGTCTCAGAGAGAAAAAGTGGGTGAGAGGACAACCCTGTGTTGAGGTTAAACCCTGAGGAGAGGGTCTGGAGTCTCTCGACTAATCCCTCACCTGGACATTGGGACCTTCCGACAACTTACAGCCCTGCATGTGCACTGGTGATTTGGACTGAGTACGTTCAGAGGTGAATCAATGAACCTGTGCACTGCAGACCTGGGTTCAAATAACGTTTAAATAGGTTGAGTTTAGCCTACCATGAGTGCCAAATTGGTTTTACAATTTGGGACTATTCTATTGGTCCATTACGCCAGACAAGGTCAAGAAGCTGAAATAATGTTTTCTTAATGTGATTTCGAATAGTATTTGAACCCAAGTCTGGTGCATTGTGGATTTGGATGATCAGGCGACTTGCCACTAAGATGGTCATGATATGTTGTGACCTAAGAACCTGCTTAGGTCAAAGCTGCTCAGAGCAGGAGGGATATGTGTAGACTCTGGGGGATGTATTGCTATACAAGGTTCAAGGGATTTTATTAGTCACGTTTACAATAAACATGACATTGGTTACCCTAGTGCAAAACAGACTACATTACACAATACAAATACATAATGTATTGCAATAAATCTAGCTCCCCTCCTGTAGGTCTTTCCTCCAACCCCAGTTGTAACTAACCTGATTCAGTTTATCAACCAGCTAATTATTAGAAACAGGTGTGCTAGATTAGGGTTGGAGTGAAAAGCTAGAGGAAGGTAGCTCTCCAGGAACAGGGTTGGAGAGCCCTGATCTAGTCTATCAAAATGAAAATGAATATCCCTTGCATGTAAATTATTGACAGGATGCTTCAGTAGGCTACTAAACAGTGTACTGAATTAAACATGTTTAGTAATTAATTCAGGTTACAATTGCTTTTTTGACCAGTTCAGACAAATATGAAGAACAAAATCTTAGCCAACTAAATGCACACATGCATGGTTAATAGCATATTATGCATAATCATTGTTATATTTTCCATTCCTATATATTATCTCCAAAGTGTGATTCCTGAATTCCTGATGTGACTTCCAGTGGTGGGCGCATTGACAATAAATACACAAAAAATATATATATACAGCAATACAGGATGTACACAAGAGGAGTGGCAATGTATGGCAATGACTTGAACCATACATTGTGCGAAGTTCATAGCATAACATGCTTTTCACACCATCAGTCTATATTTAGCCTATCATTTAGCTAATAAAATAAATGTACAACTGAAGAGAAAAAAGACAATTGGAAATTTGGATAACGAATTAAGGGGACTGAAACTAAGATAAGCTACTCACCCATTTCCTTGGCCGTAAGGTCATTTGATGACAATTTATTGTCGGTCCTTTTATTTTTAACAAGATGTGTCTTGTCACGCGCTGCAAGTCTACAGTTGACAGCTGCCAATTGAAGAAGGCAAATACATAATATGGCAAGCTTCATTTCAATTCCACTCAAATATTCCTAATGTGGGGAGAAACAAAAATGAGCGTTATTAGATCAAGCAGGACTGCAGAAATGTCGACGCTATAAAGCAGCAAAATATCGCTCCTCACTATTGGACGTTTAGTCTCGTCGTCAACATTATTTGGTCCTTCCAGTCAAAAGTCATACTTTATAAGCCGGAATCTTGTTCCCGCGCCGCCCACCTCCGTATTTCCTTAAGAGAGAGCAAGAGACCGTGGACCATCAGGACACTGAAAGCTTGGCTCAACGATCATAGTAAAGTACCCACCTGAGGATATTCAGAGATTTATTCTGGATATACACTGAACAAAAATATAAACGCAACATGTAAATTGCTGGTCCCATGTTTAATGAGCTGAAATAAAAGATCCCAGAAATTTTCAAAATTTGTTTACATCTTAACCAGAGCGATTTACAGGAGCAATTAGGGTTAAGTGCCTTGCTCAAGGGCACATCGACAGATTTTTCACCTAGTCAGCTCAGGGATTAGAACCAGCGACCTTTCAGTTACTGGCACAACACTCTTAACCACTAAACTACCTGCCGCCCATCCCTGTTAGTGAGCATTTGATCCTTTGTCTAGATAATCCATCCACATGACAGGTGTGGCATATCAAGAAGCTGATTAAACAGGATGATAATTACACAGGTGCATCTTGTGCTGGGGACAATAAATGGCCACTCTAAAATATGCAGTTTTGTCACACAACACAACACAATGCCACATATGTCTAAAATTTTGAGGGAGCGTGCAATTCCAAATCAAATTAAATCAAATTTTATTTGTCACATGCGCCGAATACAACAGGTGTAGACCTTACCGTGAAATGCTTACTTATAAGTTCTTAACCAACAATGCAGTTCAAAAAATAGAGTTAAGAAAATATTTACTAAATAAACTAAAGTAAAAAATAAAATAAAAAGTAACACAATAAAATAACAATAACTAGGCTATATACAGGGGGTACCGGTACCGAGTCAATGTGCGTTAGTAGAGGTAATTTGAACATGTATAGATAGATAGATAATAAACAGCGAGTAGCAGCAGTGTAAAAACAAAGGGGGGGGGGGGGGGGGGGGTCAATGTAAATAGTCTGGGTGGCCATTTGATTATTGATTAATTGTTCAGCAGTCTTATGGCTTGGGGGAAGAAGCTGTTAAGTAGCCTTTTGGACCTAGACTTGGCGCTCCGGTACTGCTTGCCATGCGGTAGCAGAGAGAACAGTCTATGACTTGGGTGACTGGAGCCTTTGACAATTTTTTGGGCCTTCCTCCTACACCGCCTGGTATGTAGGATGGATGGCTGTCACGCCCTGGCTCTGGGACTCTTACATGTTGAGCCAGGGTGTGTAGATTCTATGTGTTTGTGTTTCTATGTTAGGATCTAGTTCATGTGTATCTATGTTGGCCGGGGTGGTTCTCAATCAGAGGCAACGAGAATCAGCTGTTGCTTGTTGTCTCTGATTGGGAACCATACTTAGGCAGCCTGTTTGGCACAGTGTATTGTGGGATCTTGTTCCGTGTATGGTTTGTGTATGTACCCAAGGACTTCATGTATCGTTTTGTTGTTTTTGTTTGTGTGGTGTATATTAAATAAAGATGTTCGCATTCCAGGCTGCGCATTGGTCCACTCCTTTTGACGATCGTGACAATGGCCTGGACCAACCTATGGCTGCGCCCCTGCCCAGTCACTTGAAATCCATATATTAGGGCCTGATGAATTTATTTCAATTGACTGATTTCCTTATATGAACTGTAAGTCAGCAAAATCCAAAATACGGGAGGGTTGTCTTTATTTATTTTTATATTTTGCTTTGAGGAGGGTTGTGCGTTTTTTTTCCCTGGTTTACATTCACTCTTCTGCTTGTATTTTCCATATAAACAATGGCTTGACTTACTTTTGATATTACCCTAATAAAGTTTAGAAACATTTATAAAGGTTTGGTATGATGTGGCTATTATTAAGCTTTAGCTACTGCAGGCCTATGATGTTGTGGCGTTTGCTGGTTTCCCGATCTCATAACTTTAATAGCTTCAATAACAAACTGACCAAGAGGGAAATATGATTAATGCCAAAAGGCGTTTTAATGTTACACTGCACAGGGTAACAGGGAGCTGCACAAAACAACCAACCTAAACTGAACTAGCTAGCCATAAATCACAGTCCAGCAGGAGGTATCTCCCCAGAGAGAGAAACACGAGAGAGACAAAATCCGGCTCTCACCACTAGTCTGCACACCTTACCCCCTGAAGGTCGCTACATTGCTCCCCCCTCAAGTCCTCATTCCAAGGATAAAGTCTCTGAACTGACCAAGGGGTCTCCTTGAACGCTGTGGCCTCCGGGTTGGATCAATGGGGGTAGGAGGTGAAGGGTGCCCAGCTCTGGGTGAGAGAGCGGAAGCAGGGAATGTAGTGCTAGGCCTTGATGGGGGCACCAGTGCACCCATCGGGGTTACCACCACCCCGGAAGTGGCTCTGATGTTGCCGGGGAACCACCGGTGAGGCCGTCCGGCCCTCTGGTGACTGGGGGTTCAATGGCTGACTCTGGAGGGTGAGCCGCGGTCTCTGGGGGATGGTGAGCTTCGGTCTCTGGGAGGTGGTGAGCTCCGGGCGAAGGAGGGCTGGTTCCGGCCCTGATAAGGCGCCATTCTGTGAAGGTGGATGACAACTGTGCGGCCATGGGGTGCTAGCCTCACCCGGTATACTACCTTTTCAACCCGGCCAACCATGTAGCAGGGACCCACCCAGTTGCTGTCCAGCTTGGGGTTCCTGTCTTTCACTCTCTTGGGGCTATACACCCACACCATGTCTCCTGATGTAAAATGTTGCCCCATCACATGCACATCGTACCCTCTCTTTTGCCGCACCCCAGCTGCCTTGACAGTCGGGGGCCCGTCCATAGGCCAGTTCTGTAGGGGTTCTAAGCTCCCGACCCATCAGAAGCGCACAGCAGAAGCTCAGGGGTGCATCCCGTAGATTCTTGCACCGTGCTACAACATGCCAGGAGGACTAAAGGCAGCTGGACATCCCAGGCCTTTTGGTCTCGGGCGGTGATGAGGTCCAGCTGTGCACCCAGGGTGCACATTAACCCCTCTACCAGTCCATCACTTTGTGGGTGAATGGGGGTGGTTCTGGTTCTTTATGAATCCCGAGTATCCGACATATTTCAGCGAAGACCTTGGACTTGAAGTTCCGCCCTTGGTTGGAGTGAAGAACTGAGGGCACTCCGAAGCGGCTGAATATGTCCCCCACTAAGGTGTCAGCCACAGTCTCTGCTTCCTGGTTTGGTAGTACGTAGGCCTCTGGCCACTTTGTGAAGTAGTCGATCGCCACAAGGACGAAGCAATTACCATTGATGGATTTCGGGAATGGGTCCAGCACATCCACGGCGACCAGACCCCAACTCGGTGTTGCTGCAAGGGGGTGTGTGATCGACCTTGGGGGCCTTTTTTGGCTGTGCATGGATCACAGCGACGGCAGTAATCCTCCACATCTGGTTTACATTGTCCCCAGTAGAAGGATTGGCGGATTTGCTTCAGAGTCTTGGTAACACCGAAATGTCCTACACCAGGGTGTCCATTGTGTAGCTCAAGCACTTCTTCTCTCAGGACCTCTGGGAATACCAACTGCCAACGAGCCTCTCCTGTGGCTGGTT